TCGAGTCCTAGTGCTTATCGGAGATGTAACGTATTAGTTTAAAAACTATTTAGATTTCATATCGCGGATATTTTTAAAGCGGATATCATACGTGACCGCCGAGCACTACTACAAGAATTCTATCAACGAAATTATGTGTAATTCGCAATCGCCGAAAAAAATATTTACGTTCGAGTTTGCACGGAATACTAAGTATGCCGAATCTACTAGATTTGATGAAAATCCTTAGCGTGTTCGCACATCGTTCCGTATTTCTTTGTCTTTTCCCGAGCTCCGTCGAGCACAAATAGGACGCGAGTCCTCGATCAATGTCGAGAGAACACAAGAGTATTAAATAAAAAAGAAAAGCATCGCGTGAAAGAGCAGCCGATTAAGATTCTGGAGGTATCCGAACACGCGAGAAAAAAAAAGAGCAGGAGAGAGAGAGAGAGACAGATATCGCGATTCACATCAGGATCGCCGGAAATACACTGACACCTCACGATCACGCGACCGCCTTGTCTCGGTGACAAACGAGTACTTGCATACACACGCGGCTTTATCACGGATATCTCGCGTCGATTGATAATAGTTATCGAAAACTCCGATATGCACACTCACATGGCTATCCCCTCCAGAGTCCTTCAGAGGGTTGCCGCTCCATTTCATCTCGAGGGATCGAATTTCTGCGAGGGTTCCTTCTCTCGACGTCAAGCGTGGCCTCGTTCGAAGGATTACCTCCGATTATTAGTTTTCGTATTGTTCTCTGCCATTTTTCCATTCGACGCTTCTTCCTCAGACATTTCTACGTTTTTTCATTTGACTGTCCAGATTGAATTATTGTTATTAAGTTTATAGCTGTTTTCCGTATTAAGCTGTATTCTGTATTAAGTTTAAAATTTATGAAAACAATTGGTGAAATTGTGTAAACTCTAAAGAAATGAATAAAAGTGAATAAAAAGCCTTTAACAAGGAGAGGATGCGATGTGATAATAATCGATTGCGACGAAACTCGTTGTAGCGATAAGTCTGCATGTCAAGTAGTACTGAGTAAAGGGATATAATGCGCTTCTCAAGCATTTGTGAGAAAATCTACTAAAAACCACGAAAATCCACTTAAAAATTACTAAAAATCGTTGAATATTGGTTTTCAATAATTTTGTACTCAAATACTATCAACTTTACAGAAAACAGCGAGAGACGAAAATTGTTTATTTTATTCTCATAAAGTTCTGAGAATTTTTTCAGAATTTTTTAAGAATTTTTTAATATCGTATTTTCATATGACAAAAAAAAAGTTGATAAAAAATTCTAAAAAAATTCGTTAAGTTCTATGAGAAGAAAATAAATAATTTTTGTCTCTTGCAGTTTTTCTGTAAAGTTGATAGTATTTGAGTAAAAAATTATTGAAAACTAATATTCGGCAAACTATTTTCTCACAAACGCTTGAGAAGCTCATTATATTCCTTTATCCAGTATCACTTGACATGCAGACCTATCGCTACAACGAATTTCGTCGCAATCGATTATTATCACGTCGCATCCTCTCCTTGTAAGAGCTGATGCAAGATATTGTTGCAAATTATAATTATTCTATATAATATTACATACGTTTCTATAGATAGGATCCTCTTCAGTACGCGCGTAAAATTAAAACCATAAAGTGAACTTTGAAATTTATGATTATGGACGGATATTTAAAGTTTAAGAATGTCTGTCTGCATGATTTTGATCGTTTAATAATTTTACATGAAAGATGTTTTTTTAAAACGTATACAATAAAAAGTAAAATATCCTTTCGCTGTGTCTCTTTACAGTTATTGTAAAGTAATTATTATACTATAATTATTACACTGTAAGATAAAAATAACTAAAGTAATTTCTTTCTCTCTCTCTCTCTTTACAGTTATTACTATAAAGAGAAAGAGAAAGAAATTAGTTTATAGTCATTTTTAGCATTAATAAAATGCGCTCATTATACAAAGGGGATGAAATAAAAAAACATTTATTCACTTTTGAAATTTGCACAATTTTTATTATATTTTTTTCTAATATTTTAATATTTTTTACATAATATTAGCAAATAAGAAATATCATGTAAAAGACTGTTTAAAAAAATGTTCATAAACCATTTAACGATGCGAAAACGATGCATTCTTTTATTTGAATTTTAATTTCGTTTTAATTTAAATACCATTGAATTTAAACACGCGTTAATGTCCAAACATTTGCACGTGTGTCATTGTTGATCGAGAAATAGTTTAAAACTAGATAATTTTCGTTGTTTAATTTTAATGCTACTTGTTTAATCAACTAAGTTTTTATCATTTAATTTATAATACTGCTTTTATATATATATGATAAAATATATTTATATTTATCTTATATACTTAATTCTTCATACTATATACGAACGTCAAAGTGTTAGGTGCATATTTGAATCGCCACGCTATCCGTATATGGCAATTACACGTTCGATTACAGCACTCTTTACAGTGGAGTATCGTTTTCTGGAACTAATCGAGCTATGTGTTATATATTCGACTTCTCCATCTCAATGTAATGCAAACACAGTTTGTAGGTGACGGAACATCGATGTTTTTAGGAACATATTAATAAGTTTGTCAATGGTGTAAATAATTGTCGAAGCACACACGTGCGTTGAGAAAACATCTTGAATAAAATGAAAATTAAAAGAATCAGAAAGCTAAAGCGTAAGAAGAAGTACAACCAGAACGTGAATCGAAAGAGACTGCGAAATAAATTACAGAAACAGCCGGATATTCCATGGTACATTTTCTAACCTAATTCACGTACATTTATTACATCGTAAAAGTAGAGTTTATAGTTGTTCGGTATATTTCAAGATTGCGTTTACATAGAATATTTATGTTTACGTTAAATTTTGAATCTTTAGTAAATATGCAGTATAACGCTTCCGATTTTCCTGTAATTTTATAAATATATTTTGTATTTCCACGCGTAGAATATATTCTGAGAAGGAAAATCGGCGCTTTAAAAGTTAATTTGTTTGTAAATTAATTTTCGAAGTTTTTTGATGCCGATTAGAAAAATGGTAATTTATACATTTATAATATATATATTTTAAAGAAATGTTAGATTAACTCAGTCCGCATAAAAAGAATTAAAAAGGTAAATTTTTAATTACTAAACTGTTCTCTACTACACACTTCAAGTTATATGAGAAAAACTAATTTTTGTTTTTAATTAATTAAAGCAGAGAATCTTGTTTTATTTTTAGGAATTTATTAATGTTGTAAAATATAATTCACTAATTATCTTGAAAAATTCTTTAATTTTCATTCATTAACATTAAATTCCCTTTAAAAATAAATTCTGCCAAATAACCAATTAAATATGCTTCTCTTGTATCATATGATGGTAAATATACAGATGCCTGTTCGTTTTGACTAAACTTCTTGCACAGTTCATCTTTTCGATTTTTCTCTTCAAGATGGAGAGAAAGGGAAGAAAGATGGACTGTGCAAAAACTACAAAGTACAGATTTCAATATAAAACGAAAAACGAGGCTTGAGCTATGATGTTCCTTCTCAAAATATACTTTACACGTGGAAATATACAAATTTACAAAATTATAAGAAAATAGAGAGCGTTATACTACATATTTACTGAATCTTTTTCATGTAAACAATATAAGTAAAATGTGTAAATTATTATAAACTAGATAATACAATTCAAAAAGAAGTAATTAAGTTTTGTAAATCTAATTTTAATACTGATAAACAAAAATAAATAAGCGAGATAGAAGTTTTAATTCAGTATGTTGCAACAACAAAGAACATAGATTTTGATGATCCATACATTGTTTTCATTGTATACAGATAAATGTAAATTATTATATTTTATATGTAAATGAACAACCTGCTGCTGATAAAAGTTTATTACATATTTTTACATTTAGCATACTGTAAATATATTATTTATTGATTCTATTACTTTGACTTTTAGCGAGCAAATAAAAAAAGAATGGAAAAACAAGAGTTCTACTCGTGACAATTTGAAAGAAATGGGTTTGGCATATGACGCAAACGAGGCGGTGCAAATTCCTAATGTAAAACACGAAATGTTGGAGGATGCCAAGAGAAAAGTTACAGGAAATGAAGATTTGTCAGATCACGAAAATGAAGAAATGAATATGACTGCAGCAAAAAGTTACGTGATGGAGAAGTTGGAAACCGAAGCAAAAGCTCCTAGAGAACGACTTCTTAAATTACCAAAAGGACAAGCACAATTTCTCACTTATTTAATAAAGAAATATGGTGAGGATTATGAGGTGAGATTTTTTGCAAATAAAATTAATGTTATCCCCAAACGTAACTGATTATGTATTTTCTATGCAGGCGATGTCGAAAGACAAGAAGAATCATTATCAATTAACTTGGAAGCAAATACGAGCCAAGATAAAAATGTTTAAGGGAATTCCGGAACAGTATAACAAATTTGTTGAGAATAGCAGTACACAGTTGGAATCCTGACATGTATAAATGTACATTAGGATTTTATCGTGATTTTATTTATATTTTTACATTAAAATGTATACATAAGTCAGCGACTTAAATACATACTACTGTAATTTGTTCTAATTTGATAAAAACAAAAAGAATGAATTACATTAAGCATGTTTGTAATAAAATATATTGGTAAACAAATAATTTTGAGTACATGTTGTAATTATATTACTATATATAAATATATGGTGATACATTTTCTGATGGAATATGTATTTTTAAATGGATTATATAAAAAAATACGTTTTGCAGTACTTGGTATAGTTGGATGCACTATGACGTTTGTGTGTGTGCCAATACAATTTTATTTTAGTATTTTAGACTAACGATTTAATGGAGTATACATAAATTTAAAAATACTACGACTTGATAAATATCACGTTAAAGATAAAAAAGATTCTTTCGTTTAAATAATTCGATATAAAATTTTTGCTATTAAATTTTTTTGTGGGATGGGATAAGATAAAGACATAGTAGAAATAATTTTGGTTTAATTATATAAATTCGTAAAATATGTGACACAAAAAATTAACGTTGCATTATCGATGTTGTTAGGCGCCCTGTTTTCGATTTATGCTCTGTTATCGTTACATTGTCTCATTGCGCAAATATATGATAAAAAGGTGCAATGACAATACAACGATAACGACACTCAATAAAAATCTAGCTTCTTAAGAGGGGCGATACTACCTCTGGTATGGACATTCGCAATCGCGCTGAAATTACTGGCATTCGTATTGGAATGCGTACTTTTATATACCCATCTGTGGAATCAAATCCTAGACATAGCTCTTAGATTAGTTCAATGACATCGCGAATGTCGATCCCTGAAGGAACATAGGTCCAGTCTTGTAAGGATCACGAAGTTCTGTTAACACGCTTTAACCAAAGATGTGCTCCGTCTTTTAGATCAAATCACTTTGTTTCTCAGACGTCCCAGACTCTCGATCTCAGTTTCAAGTACATCGCCACGCTGAAACACGCAATCGAATACGATTTAGGAATTTATATAAATTGAAAAATACTGCGCATTAATAAATTGTAATAACGATGTATCATACACACATACTGAAGAATATTATAATTAATTTATTAAACATAGAATTATACCTGCAGATATTCAGGTGGATTACGTGTGAATCCTACACCGGCCGGGGTGCCGGTAAGGATCACGTCGCCTGGTAACAACGTCACAAATCTGAAATGTTAACATCGTTATTATGCGTATTCTTAATTGCATGATTAATATCGTCAAGAAAAATACGAACTGCGAAAGATAAGCAACTATTTCATGGGGTTTAAAGATGAGTTCGCTGGTATTGCCATCTTGCTTTAGATTACCATTCACCCATGTCTTCACGGATAGATTATTGATTTCACTTATCGCTTCCTTCGTGATTACCGCCGGACCAAGAGGACAGAATGTGTCCATCCCTTTACCAAGCAAAAATTGACCACCATTTCGCTTTGATTTCTGCCAATCACGTGCCGATATATCCTGCGCTACTGTGTAACCGAAAATACAGTCCTCGACGTCGTCATTACTGAGGCCTTTGCATTTTTTGCCAATCACTATCGCCAGCTCCGCCTCCCAATCGACCTTCTGTAAATCCAAAAACCGATTGCGCTTTAATCTCTCGTCTGCAATCTTTTTTATCACACACAAGCAAAGTTTTATTCTTAAATTTCTCTGAAATAAAGAAGAGTGGAATCCGGTTCCCTTCTCTAAAATATCTTATATTTGTTTGGCAATAGAGAGTTGAAAAGTAACTAAATTTTTCACATCTTTTTGAAAGTCCAGAACATTAAAAAAAAACTTGGGCTAGACAAAAAAATTGCAGATAGTGGAGATTGCAGAAGAAAAGAAATGCGGAGATGTGGAGATTGCACAAAGAAAGTAAAAATATAATTGCAGATGGAGAGGATTAACCAAGCGTGCGTGACTTCCGAAACGCCCTGTATAAAACACATTATATGGAGTCCTACTTTTTCAGAGTGTCAAGGACGGATGCATAATGATTAATGATGTCCTTTTGAACAATTAGACGCAAACCCGATTGGTATTCAAGCTCCAGTCGCTTCAGACTCCACGAGAAATCACTTTATTGACTCTATAAAGAAGAAACTATCGTAATGGAGTGGTATGTTGGAACAGCTTGGAACGAATAGGACGATAATGAAAGTGGGAGTCATGACGTAATTCCGGACTAAAAATACATGAATCCCAACAGAATCGACATGATCCTCAAAGAGCATCGTGTTTCGATAATACTATTTAACATCCAAATTCTCTTGTGCTATAATACATATTTGAGATTTTTTATGCTAAACATGATGTTACATCAGAATTTGCGTAGCACGTCAGGATTTTGAATAAATTGGAGTGAAATTAGTCTAAAATCACTTCAATTTACTATTCATCCTAATTTATTAAAAATCCTGATGTGCTACGCAAACTTTAATAGCATTGTGTTCAGCGCAAAAAATCTTTAAAGTATATAACATTTTGAATAAAAAAAAGAGTGATTTTTTGCTGAACTGTGTAATACAAAAGTTAAAAATTCGAACAACCATAACTTAATAAAAATGAGTCGTATGATTATGAACTAAAATTTATTTTAAAGTTTAAATTATACTTTTAGATGCTGTAAACTTTATTTAGAAACAAAGTTTTGTTTTTCCATAAAAGAATCTTGATGAAAAATACATTTTTGCTCATTTTACCTCAATTTATTCAAACTCCTGAAGTGCTACATAAATTCTGCCAATAGCGAGTTCAGCGCGAAAAAATCTTCCGGATATGTACTATGGATATGTACTTCGAAGAGGAAAAAAAATAATTTTATTGTCGAACAGAGTGTAATCAACTCGGCGTTTTCCTCCTCTTCCTCTCTTTCCGTCGACTTACATCCGAGATCTGCGGCAGCAGAATGTTGTCACGGGGTCCGATAATGTTGCTGGGAAATTTGCTAAAAACTACCGGACTCTCCGGAGTCGGTATACCTTGCTCCTGACAATGTCCGCTGTAGTTGAGGCCGATGCAAGCGAGCTTGTCCATGCGCGTGATTGGCGCCAGGAGGTTCACATCGGCCTCGGGCGTAATGCTCCGTCCCTCGGCGACTATTCTGTAACAAATCGTTCGTAATTTAGCGCCTTAGATGGTCTCCGGAATCTCCGATTAAAGTTAATCAACTTTCCACGCGAGGTGAAACCTGGTTAAATTGCTTTTTTTACTGTGGCATAAGTCTCTATAGAAAGTAAGCTGTGCGATGTTAAAAGATGAGATAACAGGAAACAAACAGCAGAGAATAGAGAAAAAGAGAAAATTTGATTAAATTCGCAAGCAGAAATGCGTCCTGCACTTCCCATTCATGCACAATCTTGTTAATTATGATAATCGATGAGTAATATGTGGTTCTAGATAACAAACGGATTTTCCCGGAAAATCCGACTTACGGTAATGAGAACAACCTCATTAATTACTTCTATGTCTAAGTCTCATCAATTATTCCGCGTCCAATATCTCGTCGTTAATTCCGTGCGGCTAATTAAATCGAGCACAATCTACGTTTCTATTGTGTTCACTGTGCCACCGTTTCCGATTGCAGCGCAACGTGTTGTGCCTATAGTTTTTGCAAATATTTTTTTCATGTTGATTCACGTCTCGTAGAGATGAGATTACGTAACAGAAGTATTGCGTGCAAAATCTTAAGTTCTCGTTAAGGCGCCTCCAGACAATATAGTCAACGTGTACCAACATTAGCAAATATCATACATGACATACGTAATTATCCATATTGAATGTAATATTTAACGAATATGTGCAAAGTTGATACATATATTAGCCATACCATCTGGAAGCGCTTTAAAATATAATGTGTAAATAAATGATATGATTTAACTTAAATTTTTAAACTAACATCTTTTGTGTGTTATAATTATCTATTTTAAATGTTATAATTTGTATATTATAATTATCTATTTTAAATGTCCAAGACATTTAATTTTGAATAATTAAGTATATATAATACTCATTTGAATAACAACGATTATTGTGATTTAACATATTCTCCCATTCTGATATTATTCTAACTAGCTCTAATGATATAATTACTTCTTCTCTATGTATACATCATTTTCAAAATAATAGCACTCCTTTTTGCAAAAATTATTGAAGGAAGGCTTCATGAATATCTTCAGTAGGAGAAGATGAAATAAAATGAATAGTCTACAAGTGTAATTTACACTATTGGTTCTTATGACTATTAGTGATAACATAAACGTCATACAATTTTAAGATACTGCATGCAATAACTTTTAATATGGCTACATTATTATATTATACCATAACATAAAGAATGTATAGAAAATATTCGACTTTAATAGAAAGAGATTTTATCTCTCTTTTATAAGTAAAATGAAGTTGTGCGGAGAAACGTTCATGCCTGTTTTCTTGACGTACGCGAACCATAACAATGAACGAAAGGGATATTGCATAAATGAATGTTCTATTAGAGCGAATCGATTACTATTTTTATCACTTGTCTTAGTTTGATAGCTAAGCATCATCTAACGTAATTGATAAATTCAATTTTAAAATAAATGAAAATGTATTTTATACGATCGAGCAGATAAATAAACGTTACTCTATTCACTAAAGCGTGCTACTTTCACTTAAAGAATTTCAGCTGTCCCAAAGAAGCTTGATAGACTGCCAATTGGCAACAGAAACGAGGCGCCTTCTTGAGTTAAGGCCGGCGCACAGACTTTTGCATAACATATAATGCATAAAGCATAAAAAATCAACCAATCAAAATCTTTAATTTCATGGAAAGGAAGAAAATGAAGGAATGATTTTGATTGGTTCATTTTCTTATGCATACGTGATGTGTTATGCAAAACTATGTTCCCGCCCTTAGTATTAATAGCTGCGTCTAGTTGAGTTAGTACAGTGATAAGATATAATTGTTGAATGTCGCAATATAATTTCGCGTTATGCGAAAGCTCAAAAACTTTCAATGACAGCAAAGCGACGGGACCGCGGATACAATCAATAAAGGAGATGTTTGTCGAGACTTAGCCGAGATCGATAAGTCGAGCAACAGGAAACATGCACGATTTATGCCACGTGATGACGTGACGCATAGCAATCATCCACTAATGATCGGAAATCAAATCCGCGAGAACACTTATATTTATATATTAGTCACGCGACACGTATTTTTTAATTAATCTAACGATTGCTCGGGAACGAGCAATATATAATACAAATTGGTAATAAATTCTCAAGTATATATTTGTAAATGTTATTTTATTTAGAAGCTTATGGCTACGTTTGTACCGTACTCTTAGTCCGCAATCTATATAATAGGTATTCTTGTTTATCCTGTAGGTTAAATAAAGTCCTATCGCATAGGTCGTGGACTAAGTGCATGGTGTAAACGTAACCTATGAAGTTGATTGTTTAATTTGAAAAATCTTTTGTCCCAGAAATTTTTATTCTCAAATCACGTTATTGGCAGAAAATATGAGAATGACTTTGAAACACGACAGCGGTATACATGCCATGATATAATCAATATTATAATGGTTGCGCAACGGCAAAATTTTAATCGTGTACAAAAAGATAGTTATCAATTGGACATACTGACATTACTGATCGACCATCCAATTATTGATAAAGCGATAGCAATTTTTATTTGTACACGATTAAAATTCTGTTGTTGCGCAGTTATTATATTATTGATTATATCATGATGTGCATGTGCACGGCTGTCGTGTTTCAAAGTCACTCACTTTTTCTGCCAACAGTATGAAATATTGAGCCAGAAATTATTGAATACGAATTATATTTTTCTTTTATTCGCAGAGAGAAGAAAAATTATGTGATAGGATTGTAAGAAATTGCTTGAGTGCACTTGTTTTATGTATACTTTTTCTATAACTTGATCGCCTCGTTTATCGCGAATAACAACTCGGAATTTAGTTAATATCTGTTACCAATAAACAATTCTATAATGTAAAATTAAATATAAAATCAATGAACTTGATAAGGTTATATTGATAACAGTTAACAAAAATTATATAAAGATATGACTCGAAAATTATATAAAGATATATTATGGCTAAAAGAGGATGAACGGTATGTGTGTAAGCGAAGAATGTATGTAGTATTGTAACAAGTACAGATAACTAATCGAAAGGAAAGAAAAAAAAGGGGGGAAAACTACTTTATCACACGAATCGAATTCCGAAAGCACCAACCTCTCTACTGCCTTCCTTAGGTCGAAATCGTCGTCCCTGGCGAAACAAATGTTCACGTTGAGATCGGATATTTTTTCCCTCACCCGTTAATGTAATATCATATATCATCTATATGTACTAAAGTCTAGAATTCTAGGTTCAAGGAAAAAAAACTTGTGAAATAACCCCAAGTTGAACTTGTAATTATATTTTTTCTATTAAAAGACGTATTTTTCCAAGGTATCCAATTGGAAGTTGTCTTAAAAAATAACATAACTGAGAGTAATTACGATATTAAAGAGTAACATTACTATGATTTTGTTGGTTATCTATTCCAAACCACTTTCTAATCATACTCTCTCTACAGTCTACAGTTTAATTTGGCGGGAAGTATCTATACACGCGTCATCACGTTAAATGATTACAAATTGCGTAAAGTTCGTACAAATATTATACATCATAATATTATCGTAATTATGACATATCATCATCTTTCGCAAATATTTGTATCTCGTATGATCAAATGCTCCTCAAGATTCCTTGAGTTAACTCGGATCTAGCTGTTGATTAGCTCTCCTACCTCTTGGCCTTCTTGAGAAGATCGTCGCCGCCCTCCAGAAATTTTTTCAATGTGTTCGGTATCCGCGAATCGACCGCGGACACTGCGATAATATCACCTCCCTGCTTCAGCTGGACCCCAAGATGCTGCGGGCCACCATTTTTGTTTGTGAATTGAACGAACCTGCGAAAATATATTGCGATTAGCGCCGCGTTAATCGACCATGAAGATCATGAGAACTGGTCGGAATAATCATTACGTCACGTATGATATAACTTTCTAACGATAACACGTTTGTTATCATTTCATGCTCGCCACGAAACCGCGACAAGCGGTGAAACCTAACAAAATCATATGAACAATGAATTAATTAATTCACATGCGGAAATCTAATAATTATGTATAAGAAGTAGAAAATAAAAAATCAAGTTATATATAATTTTGACTCCCCAACAATAAATAGTTCTTGAAATATTAATTTTATTTCTTCGCGCGTAAAATTTATTTTTTATAAAAAGTCCTTAATGGAAGGAATAAATAATACATATACAGGGTGTCCCGCAATTTTTTGCCAAGCGCTTTTGTGTAAATAGAGCGGACTAAACTGAGCTGAAATATCCTTTACTATTTTACAATTTTCGCAATAGTTAACGAGATATCAATTACTAAAAATTGCCAAATATCAATCTTCAATAATTTTTTACTCAAATACTATCAACTTTATAAAAATAGCAACAGACAAAAATTATTTATTTTCTTCTCATAGAGCTCTGAAAATGTTTTCAAAATTTTTTTTTAATTTTTTAAAACAGTATTTTCTCATATTGGTAAAAATAGTTGCCAGTAAGAAAATGCAGTACTAAAAAGTTGACAAAAAATTCTGAGAACTTTTCGACTAAGTTTAGTCCGCTCTATCACAAAAGCACTTGGCAAAAAATTGCGGGACACCCTGTATATTTTAGTTTCAACATATATCTCTTTGATAATATCTTACACACATGCGTCTATCAAGATAAAAATGACGACACATTTCTCATTTAAATTAGCATGTATAGTTTTCTTTATATGCATATATATGTGTCGTGTGCATGTGTGCGCGCGCGTGTATATGTTAGTCTTTCAAAATATAGTAATTTAACAATCTATAATATAACATATCCAATTTAGAAAAATATACATTACAGCCGCGGTTTCATTCACGCTCACAACCCTTAAAAATCATTTCATCCTTATTGTTGTTTGTCAAATGTTAAACGAAGACAAACGATACTCATGAGCGTTGTCAGCATGAATCAGACCACGGCCTATGTTGTACGCTTTCGTAATTCAAACATCTCGTAAGTTTTACATTTCAATAACCGAGTCCCTGTCGCGCTGTTCTGACTTTGCAACAATAATATTCAGAGTTCGATTATACTTAAGATCGTTTTAATCCTCCGCGTCTGCAATTATTTTTTACTTCCTACATCTGCAATATACTTAAGACTTTTTTATCCCCAAGTTCTTTTACTGTTCTAGGTTTTCAAAAAAATGTCGAAAAATTCAGGATCATTTCCCAACATCTCTGTCACATTACCAAATAGTCTTTTTTAACTTAAATGTTAAAACCTTTATTTACTCCGCCATTCTTAATAATTACTATTTCAACTTATCGTTTTTCCAACGATAAAAATCGCAATTACCGTCATCGCAAAATTATTTTTCGAACTAAATGCAACCGATATTTTTCATTAAAATTCCTAAAACTATGTATACTCCCAGAAGCTTCTAATTATTTATTATAAATCATTTAGTGACGTTAACATCGATTTCACTTATCATCTCCAAACATGTGATCCTCATATGAGGAAGAAAAAGAAATTTTTTAATAGATTCCAAAGACGTAACTTCTGATGCATGCTCTTTTAATAGGCAGATAACGCGACGTATACTATACGTGACTGTTGCGCCAGGTAGACGTGAACGAACAATTGAATCGTAAAATCGGACTGAGTATCACAAGTGTCTAAAGACAATATTCACAATCCGATCAAAAACTGTAATTTACATTGAAAAAAGTATACAAATTGTAATTAATTGTTCAAATAGTCCTAAATATTTACAAAATGTAAACACATTTATTTGGTACAAGAATCATTAATTTAATTATTATTTTTATTAAGTAAATATTTATTTACTTTAAGTATAAATATTTACTTAATACTTAAAAAATATATATATTAAGATTTATATAAAAATTTTCTCAGTATATCGATAAAGTTTGATTTCAAAGAATCTGGGAATGTATTCAGCAAATTACATAAAAAGAATTAGAAATAGATAAATAATAAATTAAATTGAGATTAAAATTTAATCTTATAATGATGAAACCGGACTTCAATCAATATAAAACGATTATTTAGCATTTTGACATCCTTAGATCTGTTTTTTTACAACTAGTATGCACTTTCTGAAACAAGTGTACATTTAAAGTGAAACAGATATATGTTTGAAATTTGATCAAAGCGAGAAGGCAAGTTTTCTAATGCTGTTTAGTGCAGGAACAAAAAACAAACTACTTAACCTCCATCTGTAGTCTGCTAGTCTTTTTGGGCACAAACGAAATTTCATTCTCTGAAATAGTAATTGTTAAGAACGGCGGAGTAAATAAAGGTTTTAACATTTGAGTCAAAAAACTATTTGATAATGTAACAGAGATGTTGGGAAATAATCCTGAATTTTTCTACATTTTTTTGAAAACCTAGAACAGTAAAAGAACTTGGGGATAAAAAAGTCTTAAGTATATTGCAGATGTAGGAAGTAAAAAATGATTGCAGACGGAGGATTAAAACGATCTTAAGTATAATCGAACTCTGCATATTATTGTCGTAAAATCAGAACAGCGCGACAACGACTTTCAGAGCCGCATGTTGCATCCAGAGCTGCATGTTGCATCCAGAACAACGAAATCACGATGGAATTACGACGTTCAAAGACTCGATCGATTACCCAAGACGCAAGAGATTCCACATGTCTGTTACAGCCCTGAGTTGTACAATGTGCATGCTCACCTCATATCGAGCGCACAGCTCACGGAGAAGTTTCTGCTGTCGGTAATGCTAGCAACGGCAAAACACGGACTGCTCTCGCTCTTCCCGCACGCGTTAGCGATCGCGAGACATGTTCTCCCTAGTAGTCGTAATTTTCCGCGATATGGCATCTTTTAACAGGCGTAATTGTTGATAAGGAGAGAGGGAGAGATAGGCGGGCAGAGAACGAGACAGAGAGCAATGAGGAGCTAATCGGTCAATGAAAGTCAAAAGCAGCCGAGAGATACAAACACCGTGAAAGACGAGGCGCAACTGAGTGAGAAGTAAGAACTGAGGCCACACAGAGCCACGCTCTCAGCTTTCGCGAGTGTCACGCACGCCTGTCACGCGGCACGTCACGTTAGGGGTCCGACCACGTGATCTCCTGATTAAAAAAGGCAAAAAGACTGATTTACGCAATATTTTAGACAGATTGACGGAAAAGAGGAGAAAAGAGAAACGTAGGGAATTGTTGAATGTACGATAAATGAGAACGCTCGCGAATCGATGAGTATGACATTGCAAAATATGTGTAATCTTATCATTTTAAAGCGATACCGATCGTACAAAAATAAACAGCTCCAATATCTGCGACAAAAAATGTTAGAACCGTATACATTAGGTGCATTCGGGGAGACACTATTAGCGTTATTTCTGATTCTATCCTTGTTTTACGTCTAATAAACAACAAAGATAGAATAACATAAATAGCGCTAATAGCGTCTCCCCGAACGCACCAATTGTCACCAATTTTGCGTCCAATTAAGTACATGAACTTTATTGTAATGGAGGAAGGAGCAAGGAATTGGGAAGAAAAATTTTGCGTTTTCCATAATCAATATTTTTTGTTATGTATATAATACTAAACTAATATAATAATAATAATGTATACATATTATTTAATATTCTGTTTACTAAAATCTCGATAAAGATATAAAGATGGATATGTATGATAATCTAAAATATTATCTATATTTACGCAGAATATTTTATGATACATCCAGAAGAATAGATAGTAGCATTTGATTACGTAATAAATATAATATTTAAGTAAAAGAGAATGCGGTCTATTTTAATAGCATCATCTTCAATACCATCTTTAATATTCAATCAAAAGCTTACAATGTAGTAATTAACAATTAGATAATGATTAAGGAAACGGTTTTCTCCGAGTGGTTATGAACTCTTCGCGATTGTGATACGGTTCGTACGGATCGTCAATATAATAGTGCCGTCTCTTCCAGTACTTTGATACCATCTTGTCCAGAAGTGTTGACTGCGTGGCATTGCAGAACACGTGTTTCCTCAGTCTCTTCTTTCTGGCGGACGATTTTGCCCATAGCTTATTATTTCGACCTGCTCTTGTTCTGATCCAGATACCCCTGCAACATTTTATTTTATATCTCTCGAAATTTTGAGTTTCTACAAATAGCTGATATCGTTCTTGAAGCCCAGTTTCACAATTCACAGTTAACTCTTAACCTCTTAATTTTAGAATTGGAAAAAGATGAGAAATAAATTGAATCTCGGTTAAAAATTAACCGTAAGTTGTGAATGAAACTGGATCTAAGTATTTAAGACCATCTTAAATCATAACCTTTAGTATACACAATTATTTTCCGATTCTTTTTTAGACACGAGTTATTTATTTCAGATTATTTTTCATCACCTTAACAAATATAGAAAAATTATGAATTGATTCTTCATATACTTTAACATCTTTCGAAAGTATCAGTATCAGACTACTCTTCGCCCTGATAAAGTGAACTGCGATGACGTTTATAAAATGTTGGCATTCCAGAAGTGGATAACCCTGATAACAGATAGCTTCTACAGCAATCTTTATTGTGGAATCCTCAAAAAGGATTATTTTTAGATTTGTATATTGGTATAATGATAAGATTGTGTATATTTAAAGAAATTGTATAAGAATGTTGTAACTAATTACCTGATGTGATCTTAGTTTTTTTAAGAAAAAAAATGTGCAAGACATGATTGACTCAATAGTGTGTATTAAGGGTTAAAATGCTAATGTGAGTAGTTTATTATGTCTTAAAACTCTTAAGACATCTGAAAACGGTACTTAAAACGATCTCAAATATAAGTATCAACTAATACAATTGTTCAGAAATATTTGATGCAATCTATAATTTTCGATATTGTTATGTGCTTGATATAGTCTTAAAATATTACCAGTGCAGTCGGTAGAAACGTTTTAGAACTGTCTTTACGGTCTGCCGCTTTCCTTTTCCCATAGAAAACTTGATTACAGTTCTTACTGGCACATTAATAGGTTCTGCTGGCAAAGCGAGACGATTTTCCATTGCCGCATGGCTAAAAAGATAATATTACTTTCATGTAGCAACTTAGTATCTTAGTATCTTACATAGAAATCAACATGTCACAAATCACTTCTGCAATATTCTATATTACTTTAGTAGTGTCTTATGTTGCGTAGGTCCGACAGCTGCCCATTTCTGGACAGCAATTGACAGTGCCCCAAACTCTCTGTGTTGTATGGAATTCAAAACGGGATTGCATCTTGAAATAATGCAATTTGTCGCATTTGTATTCGTCGTCCTCGCTGCGATTCCTGAAAGAACACTAAATCTAGTATGTGTGCTTGCAAGATAAATTAAATTAACAAAAGTACAGGACTTTCAGTACAAATACTAAGTAGAAAGTTTAAAGGATGAATGAGAATCAGAATATAAAAACGAATTTCTTAAAATATCATAACTAATATATTAATACGTAGATCTTAAAAATTATTGTAATAACAAAATTAAAACGATTACATGAATTATCCTTACGTGTGATTACATAGTTAAAAAACACATATGCTAACAAAATAAATTACAAACCCAAGGAAAAATGTATTATATTTTAAATGTACATTATCGTCAGAAAATTTAGGACCAATGTAATATAATCTTAAAACACATAATTTATGGTAAAATTATAAAACAAATAATGCAATTCTGGTAATTGTTTTTTTTTTACTTAATTATACCTTCAGGACCATATTATGCTGCAGTAAAAAATAAAATTGGACATGCGGATATTTTAAATAAAAAGAACATAAAATGAAATCTTTAAAATGCATGGTTTCAAACTGATGGTAGTGTATATGATAAAATGTTTAATTATGCGTGAGTATCTTAACATGCATGTACAAACGTAAAAATAGAATGTCAAACTCCAATAAATACTAATTGAAAGTAATATAAATCAATGTTATGATTTGACATTTGATGCTATATTTAGCAGAAAAAGCAGCTTTATCACTATTGTAAAATTCTTTAATATGATTTGAAATGTATTTGCTAGGTTTAAATACATGAACTTTATACATTTATAAATTTATTTGCTTAGGCTAGAATCTATAAACTTTATACATTTTAATCCAGTGAGGAAGTAAAGACGAAACCAATCACACTAAAAAATTTTACAAAAGTTGCAAAGCTACTTTCTCTGCTAAGTATAGTTAATGTAACTGTTATTGAACACATGTGTTATATTACACTTATATTATTGAATATGATTATACAACATTGATGTTACTTTTAGATGGTGTTCACTGGGAATTGTTTCGTAGATTGATTTTTTCGAATTGAAACACAGATTATATGGGAATTTTTGCGTATTGCTCTACACTAAATTTAATTAGGAAAAGAATTAATTAAATATGATAATGCTACGAATAAAAAATGCCCAAAGATGTAGATCTCGACATTTGTGCGAGATGAGAATTCTCAAGTAGACGTTCAAACACGCGCCGGTGTCCCGATTCCGCAGCGTTCCTTCCGCCAGCCGCGTGTCATGGCGACCGCGGCGAGGCGAATCTAACCTTCCGACGTCTCGCGTTTCATTGTCCGCAACGCAACCAGACGTGAAATCGCTAGTGTATCATGGTGCAGCGCACGACTGACGCGTGACAACATCTCGCGATGCGGTCGCCGATCGCAGGATTGGCCGCGGACTACGCGTACACTCACCTCGCAGCGCCGCGCTCACAGTACGCAGCATTCTTCTTTTCACGCAGTTCCGTCCGGTCTAATCCGGTGGTCCGGTGTCTCAACGGCCAGCTGTTCTCCCCGTGCCGTCGTTCCCCTTTTCCCGTTGGCTGCCTGACCGGCCACTCGAAAGATGTTCCGAATTGGATTAAAATTTCCGTACAACGGTCTGAATCGGGTATGTAGTCACGTGCGAGAGGACCGCAGACAGGCGGGACGCGATCGTCCGGGTAAGATCGTCCACGTTAAAATACCGCGGGGAATCGTCGCGGAGCGACCGCACGATGACACGACAGCGTGACGCCTTGTCTTCACGACAGTGTCGCGCGACGATCCCGCGCCGACCGACTCCACCACCGTCGGCTATCGCGCGTCACCGATGGTCGACGACGAGCGTCATGGAGTCGGATAAACTACAACAACGGCGATCCCGGGAATCCGCTTTCGCGAACGTCCGACCGCGGCTGACGTTTCCCGGCTCGCGCGCGTGACAAAGATGGCATGTTTTCAAGAAAGCTTATATAATTCCAAAAGCTCTCTGATCTTGACACCGTTTACCCTTTCAGGTAAAAAAACACGGCTCCTCCAGGCCACATCTAACCGCCAGGTACTACGAGCCGCGGGCGCGCATCAAGTATGAGCCAGATGGAAGGTGAGCTCTTCAACAGAAGTTTAGGTCTCGACAGGTATCACCACTTGTTAGACCTGTCATTATTCAGTGGAGATCGTACTCGTGCTTTGTGAATCTCAAAACGCGAATGACACTATGTTTTCATGTTATTTACGAGCTATTTGGTGCGATGAAATCGGAACGTGGTGAGGTTATGTCCGTGTGACATGTGTTTTCCTTAAATAAAGGTGACTAATGAGTAATCTTATGAATGGCATCTGTCACGTTCATGATTTTATCACCACTGTATTTGACAGGTTTGTTGAGTCGTTTTGACAAGTTTGTTGGGTCGTTATTTAATATGAGATTTGTCAACCTTTGACGAACAATATAATTTCATTTAAAAGGTCTTTTTAGTTTAACTTTTCTACAGTTCACCTTTCCTCATTTTCTATCTATATTAAAGAAAGAAAAAAAATGAACATACAAAAAGTTTATCTAAAAATAACAGGTTTAATAATTTTCTGGTATGTAAATTGTGTATCTGTATATATATTATGTCACAGTCAGAGGTGCGTTCTGACTTCCATCTGAATGCTCCTTGGGTATCATGTCATTCTCGTTTAACGTTTGTTAAACAATCTGGAGACACAGTAGTGTCTCGATGCTAAAACATGACGCAAGACATAAGGATGACTTGATACTCGGGGAACACCCAGGTGGAAATCCAAACATGTATTAACTTTAGTAAATGTATATACTCACTAGTCAATGTATCTAATTACACAGACTACAGTAAGTATATATACATTTACTGAGTTGACGTTTTGACTGTAATATATACAAAAAAAATATAGATTTTTATATTTTTTTAGACTTTGCAGGGATGTCAGGTTTATATCCAGGTTTACTGGGCCGAGGTATTCGACCGCACCAAAAAGGTATATGCAGAACATGAATTATAATATTTAGCACATTATTTATTACTCTAATGCATATATTTCTGTTACCTTTCTGTGATTTTATATGTGCTAACTATTCGTGTAATTTGGTCATTTTATGAGAGAAAGAAGTTATCAGTTTAATCACTAAATTTATTTTAATTACTTGCGTGTCTCATAACAGCGTCAAAAGTCGGGGATCAGGAATGCTGATAACTCTAGGCGCTGTAACAATAGGTACCTTAGGAATATTAACATATGTAAAAGGGAACCCAAAGGTTCGAGCTACCCTCGAAGGATGGATTCCGGGTACAGATGAAACTATCCGAGTTATCTTTCAAGAAGATAAGAATTCCAGCTATCTTGACTTTGTACTTACGTTCTTCGAAACGGTGAAGCAGACGTAAGAAAATAAAAATTATGTATAATATTAATAATTATCATGTTAATTACTTCACTGAAATATTGATGTTTTTTACAGAATATTAGGCATGTTCATCAAGGAAGCATCAGAACCAGAACCAGGTCAGACAAGAATACAGTACACAAAAATTGTAGAATACATACGTGAGTCCAAATTCCTTAACTCCTGTCCCATGCCTTATTTTTTCCTAATACTTTCTCTTCTGACCTTCTGGATCTAGATCCTTTCCACAATTTGTTCTAAGATTATATATATTACATACTTAATAAATAATGTTCCCACTAACTTTTAACAATCGCATGTATATACTGTAGCGCCCAAGCCAGCTTTTAAACCACTGGCCGATCAGAAAGAAGCGCCTATTAACAAGAATTATGCCGAAATTCGTGTTAGTAAAGACAAGGGCGAAAAAGTCGATGTTGGTACGTTTGCATTATTTCTCGTTTAACAAAAGTTTAAGTGGAAGTTAATTAAATAATTCATATTTTTATAGTAGCTGAGAAGCCAGCGTCGCCTGCCAAAACTGTGCGCGATGAATCAATACCACAAAATCTCATCGAGTTAGAAACATACTGTGGAGAAGCTGCTGGTAAAGCTATTGCGGCCTATCAGAAGGCAGTGTACGCTCTTCAAGAATACAATCAGGATGTTGCCAAAGTGATTGAAAGTGCTGGCACTACAGTAAGCGGAGTCATCTGGCAAAGGTAACCATCGCTATATGCTTATATAATCGTTTTACACCTCACTTGTATATCGATTATGTAATCAAATTTGTCACGTTTGCAGGTTAAAAGAGGCAACAGAAAAGAGGAAACAGACTGTACAGCAAGCAGAAGAACACGCGAAAGATGCATTAGATTCGCTTAAGCGTATGTACAATTCAATCGATGAACCTGTGCTTGAAGCGGCCGCTCACATGAAAACAGCTGCAAAGCGAAATATTAGAAAAATTATGGATGATGTGGACGAAGCTAAGAAAAAATACACCAATGAATTACAGAGTGGTAACGTCGCGGAGCGCTACTGGAAGCAGGTTCAAACAGCACGAGAGAATTTCAATGAAGAATTGCATATTCTGTTTCCCAATATAAATATTCATGATAAGAAGCTGTCTGTTAGCGAAGAAGCCTTCGATTTATTCGTCTTGCATATGTATCACAAAGTCAACAATCTGCAAAAAGAGCTGGAGAAATTAAGAGTAAGTTTTTAGCACGTTTATGTAAATATTATAGTCTCTAAATTTATATTTCCGAAACGCTTTCGTGCGAAACCACGATTTTTACATGGAGTTAATATTTTAATATTGCATTAATAACAGTATTTTCAGAGAGAAATTATTTAATTACAGACAATCAACGAAACTAAAGTGAAAGCGGCATTGAGGACGGCGGGTGAAGACGCGACTCAAGAAAAATTGGACGCTCTGATCTGCCTCGAAGTTAATCGAGAGAGACTTGAGTTAGAAGATAAGCACGCAAAAGAGGTAAGAAATGTGTTTAATATATTTTCAGCTTGAAATATTTTAATATATTTTTAACTTGAAATATGAAAATCGCGAGCAGAAAAGCACTTTATATACAGAAAACTAATTTTAAATTTCTCAGAATGACGTACAAAATTTTTAATCTGTTAATCATATCTAATTTGCGGAAGTAATGTGATCTTATCCCATTGTATGCTGTTGCATTATGTCTTTGTTCCGCTGTAGAGAGGTATTAATTCTGTAATGCGCGTATACACGTTTGTAACGAGAGAAGTAATATATCCGAGCACGATTCAGATAGCTTCAAAGCGCCTTGTTTGGCGTGCAAATCGTGCACTGGCCGATGTTGCATGCTTTTACGTGCACCATCCCTGTTCTCTTAGTATACAAATATAAATAGATGTGAGCTTTAGTGCCATTATTAATGTTGCCCTAGCATTTAGATGACTTTGCATGGCGACGCGTTCGCGCGTGAAATCCAGTCGTTACGGTGTGGATATATTCGCGCGAATTAAAGAGAGATAGCGTAAAAGATTCTTTCATTAAATCCGCGATGATAATCGTGTGAAGTGTAAAAAATTTCTGAGATTTCTGAGAAAATGTATTTCTCGAAAGGGAAAAATGACGGGGAAAGAGAGGAGGCAGTTAAAAACCGAGCGATGAAAATGGTGGTGCTTAAGTTGTAAAGCGGACGAATAGAGAGATCACGATGATAAAATGGGCCTTCATATTAAAGCGTTGGAAAATAGCGGAAGAAGAAAATAACAACGGGTCACTTTAGTCATAGCCGCTTTATTGCATTTCAAGATCTCTCAGCTGAATAGCTCGTATAAAATAATATTCGATCGTTGCTTCGTAAAGTTACAGTTCATAAGATTCTATCGCGTTTTTCAGCTTTAAGAATCCTTTATAAAAAAATATTCTTTTTCTTATATTCAATAAGAACGTACTAACTTCGTGAGTCAAATTGAAACCGAATCGCTTTCCACATTGAGTCGTATGTTGCATTCAGATCGGGGCACAGGTGCATCGGTGTTTTGTTCATATCTGACGAATTTAAAGCGATGTGGCAGCGTATGTAACGTCACATACGTGATACACCGAATGTGTCGCGTCAGAGGATGGTCTCGGCAGTACTAGTCCCTCATGGTCCTTTTATTTATTTCCATTTGGCCGAACGCCAATATTTCGACAGCAACGGGCGATATTAGTCCCTTAGAGTATACGGCGTTTGTGTGCCACCGCGAGGTATTCGCTGAGGAACCATTGTGACTCACTGTCCTCATAGTTGTTCGACAGCTCTTTTTCGATCTCCTTCTTTATATCCTCGTCTCTCGGTCTCTATTTGCTGAGGACGCGCCGTCGAATATAAATCTTGTCGAATCGATCCACGCGGACTTGCACGACCTTTTGTTCTCGTTTTGGACGGGAACAACGATGTCCTCTAATTGCTATTTGTCTACGAGCTTCCGGTACCGCTCGTTAACGTCCGGTCGAATATTTTATCGCAAATGCATCATGGATAGGCGGCCGTATCGCCGACTGATCTCCCTGCGTCATCCATTAAATTACATATATATATATATGAGAAAGATAACGGAATTAATTAAATGGTAATCACATTGCATAATTTGTTCATAAGTTGCCGTTAACAAATGATCATTTGTTTCGCTATAGTCGATGCGCACTGTCGAGGCAAATGCAATGAAAGTATGTCATCGTCGTCACGAACTTTGCATTTGCGTTGCACTTTGTCGCGTAAGGAGGGATCCTTTCTCGCATCATTTAATTAACGTAATTTCGCCTTGGAAAAACAACTCGCCGACTTCATCAACGCGAACGACTCTGAATGTTTTCCTTCTAACGTCACGAAAGCAGACAGCAAATTCACACTGCAAATCATCAGCCAAATGAAACCGATATCAGAAAGGGCACAGGTCAAAATTTTCGAATAAGTTAGATGAGTTAATTAGTTTTTCTTTCATTTATTTATTTAGGTGTTTTGATAGCCATGTTAGCGTTAGAAAAACATTCTAAGTGGAAATGGGTAGTTCATCACTGTACAATCAGGAAGTTATCGATCTTTTTTAGAAAGTATACTTTTAGTAAAATATTCATTTATATACACGCATCATCAAACATAATTGAAACAATTCAAGTAAAAATTGTCTTTTAAATTTTATCTTCTAGAAATATATAAATATACAATAATAAATATTAATTAGCGGGCAATGAGAGCATTCACAGCGCAGCACTTGGAGCGCAATATATAAAATATTGCGCTCCAAGTGCTTAATATTTATTATAATTTTACATTACTGTACTTGTTAATAACAATTGAGAAATGCCGTTAATTCTCTTCGTTGGATCGAAGTGAATAACTAAATGATATATTAATGAAATAACAATGTTAGTTGCATTGATTTTATATAGTTTCTCACTTTTATTCACCCTCCATCTTTGCAGATCATAATTCGAAGCGCAACGCATTATGTTATAATACACATACATATTATTTATACACAACGTTCTTATTGGAATTTGAAGGAAGTCTATCTTTTGTGAGCTTTGATGATACTCTCCAATTTATTAAGGCTACGATAAAGATTAACATTCGTGTCTTTCGTTATGTTCTTAAATTTCTCTGAAATTGAAGGTAGATAGGGAACCGTGAACCAACATTTCTGACGTGGCTCTTAGAATAAAATTTTGACGGTCATTACATATTTGACTTCCACATGGATAATATCTTAAAGTAATATGTCTATAATTTATTTTTATATATTGTAACATAATGCGTTGCGCTTCGAATTGTGATCTGTAAAGATGAAGGGTGAGTAAAAGTGAGAAACTATGTAAAATTAATATAACTAACTTCGTTATTTCATTAATGTATCATTTAGTTATTCATTTGGTTATCTAAAGAAGAGAATTAACGGTATTTCTCAATTAAGAAGTAAGGGTATGTTCATCCTCTGTCGAACGCAGTGACCATCTCCAACATGTGCGGATTAGAATATTGTTCATAGAAATTATATGGATTGCTGATGATGGTTTAAAATAAATCGAAATGTTCAAGAAATTTGTTATCAACAAGTACAGTAATGTAAAATTATAGTAAATATATTTTATGTATTGCACTCCAAGTACTGCGCTGTGTATGTTCTCATTGCTCGCTAATTAATATTTATTATTGTTTGAATTTCGAGCGCCCTATTAAATATAATTTGATTTTTATATAAACTATAAACTGTTCTATTTTATATATTGTATATAGACACACACACATAAATGCACATTTGGTATATATAGATCCATTTCTGTAAATCCTATATTTAATAATAATTCTTTAAATTTCATAACTGTTGAATCTGAAGAATTATTGTTAAAAAAACATATTGTTATAAGTATTTTCTAAACTCTTTTAGCCTGTAGTATATATATGTTGTATATATGTATAAACACACTTTGTTACAGTTACTTAAATGTATTTTTTTCCATGTCAGTGTATTTTTTTCATAATAAGAGAAGTCTTCAGATTTAATAACAATTATTGAATCTAAAGAATTATACTGTAAAAAAACAGATTATTATGATATGTATAGATATTTTAACAAATATATGTAAATAAGCAATCCCAAAAATATCAATTTAAAAGAAAGTTTTCAAACTTTTGATCTAGAGTGTATCTATACTGAATGAGTATAAAATAAATTAATTGAAATTGCCGCCGATTATCAAATATTTTATTGTTTCGTATATTTGCAACGAGGAAATAAAATTTTCCGTAAAGCCAAAGTAGGGATACGTCTCAAGATCGTAGGGAGCTTGAAAAATTCATGGTTTCTTATCTGCCTTCGCCGTTTGGGATTTCAGTCTGTGGCCCGGTCACGAGATATTTTTATGGCGGTACACCTGGAAGTTATTTACCACGACGGACGTGAATTATCGATGAAACTTTTTGTCGCGATTTGTTTTATCCCGTCTGCGTGCACGGGCAAAGCTTACCTTACCATTGCCTAGAAACAAAATGCGACCCGTGAATCTCGTACCATTTTCTAACATAGCTCTCGCATTGCCGTGCAATATTTACCAAAGTATCACCAATAATTTTAGCGTCCCTACGCAAACAAACAACCATCGTGCGATTAAAATTCACGACCTTCCGTTTGCAATCTGTGGATCTTTTATAGTACAAACGAAATTTTACTCTCAAATTTCTCTGAAATAAAAGAAGATATTTTCCTTATTGTTATATATTTTTAAACAAATTTCCATTTTTTCATTTCTGCTTAAATTTTATTTCTTATTAAATAAAGGTTTTAATATTTAAATTAAAGAATTATTTTATAATATAATAGAGCGATGTTGAAAAGTAACTCTGAATTTTTCCACATTTTATGAAAGTTTAAGGAGGTTCTCGCATTTGATGAAATATAAGACAAGTCTATAATATATATGTAATATAAATGTTAATATCAATAGAAAAAATTTTATTGACTTTTACCGTACCATTTTAAAGATATTTAATTCTAAATTTATAGAATTTTACATCACAAGTTGAAAGTATGACCTTATTCTGTAGTTATTTTCTTTTAAATTGAGACATTTGCGTATAAAACAGCAATTAAAAAATTGTTATAATTATAAAGTAAACGCTTTTAAGTTCGTTCTCGTAAAGTTTTATTTAAAATTGATCGTACAATTTACAAAAAATTTATATTCTTCAATGAAAAAAGCTAGAGTATATGTCAAATGGATGATGTGTATACATCAAATGAGCATTTTACAACTTTTATTTTGTCATTTTGAAAATATTTAGTAACATATAAAATTAACAATAATTATGTATAATGGCATAAGATATTGTTAGTAATCTTTTTATTCTATTATTTTAATTGTATTACGTATTATTATGAATAAACTGTCTATTGACTAGGAAGTAGCGCGAGAACCTCTTTAAAACAGTAAAAAACTTATGCTGGGGACAAAAGAGAGATTGCACGGATGATTAACAGAAATGTTTGAAGTTCATAAATTCCACAATAATAAATGGAAATTTGCAAAAATCTCATGCTTCTTTACGCATAGAGTTTATATTTTAATTCTTAAAATAAATATACTCATAAGTATTCACAAGCTACAGAAAAGTCTCTAGCATTACTTCCTTTAATTTAATTGCTTCCTTTAATTTCAATTTGAATTCTCTTTCTGTCTTTAATGAGCACACGAGTTTTATAGTTTCGAGAGTCATTTGGTTGCACTCTTCGGGTGCAAAGTGATGCACTTGTTCTCCAGAAACGATCTTTAGCGCACGTGCACGACATGATACTGATCGTATATCCGCTTTTACGACGGAAGCCTGCCGATAGGAAAAATATTACTCGACGTGTATAGGACGACTAACCAGCCATGCAAAAGAACGGGCATTTGAGCATTCTTTCCCGTCTTGCAAATCGAGAAATTCTCAAGTTAACGCCAATGTGGTCGTACGTGCTGCACCGATCGCATAGTACCATCCGCAAATGTTTTCCCTTCCGATCCGAAGATTGATTCACTTTTTCTGTCGCTCTTTCCATGAATCGTAGATAGCTCTCTTATTTTGCATCAAGATTCTAGAATAATTTAAAGACGGCATCGATGGTGTTCTGAATTTTCATTGAGCCTTTAATTGAATAATATGAAGTATCTAAAGATGTTCGTTCTTTACTTCAACGACGAATACTTCGAGAATTTTTTACTTAAGGAAGATGTTGCGGTAAGATTTCATCTATTGGAAATTCAATTTCAATTTAATGTTAAATTTATGGTAATCAAATCACGAATTGAAATTCTGGTGAAGAAGTAAAAGTTCGATTAGACATGGACAATAAGATTATTTTTTCTCGTTTAATTGCATGTCACAAAAGTTTAATGAAAAGCCTTTCATTTCCGATAAGAAATTATTGATTGGAGAACTATCGCACTTTCAAAATTGCTAGTTGACATTTAACATTTTATTTGAACAGAAGTCGAATGGAGAGACTAACTCACGTCGCAAAACGGGAAGAATATTTTCATTGGAGTGTCAGAAAGGTTGATAGAATCATTGTCGTAAAGTCTAATCTATTTTGTAACTCGGGAATATGCGCGAGCTAACAAATAAATTCTGCGCGAGCCTTTTCTCATACGTATTATTTGTCATCAACCCAAAACGAAGATATGGAAGATATGTGATGAGAATGAACTGTTCCCCGGTCCAGAGAATTTTTATAGATCTTAAAAAGAGACGCGAATAAAATTCTTTCACTTCGCCAAAGTTATATTGAGATTTACGATACGCGTAACTTCTAAAAGTCCTTTATATATAGCCATTTTACTTTTAAATACGAAAAAGAGAAAATCAACCTCGATTTCGTTTAATCGACATGAAAAGAAGAGCATTGCTGGTTTTTCTGCCGATCATCGCGGACGCGAATTGCGCGAATTTCTGTCCATGGTATCTAGAAAGAGCTTCGAGTTTTTCCATCGACAAACTTTCGATTGGTCGACCAAGTCGGCAAGACGCGACCCGCGCGAGTTAATAGCCCCAAATCAGTTTTCCTTTCTTTCGAGGAGGATCTCGTCGCCGCATCCGTCGCTCGATGCTTACGTAGATTGCTGTACAAATCGTCGTCATTAAATTAGTTACACGTAAGGAAAAACTGCTGCGATTTCGTTGGTTCGAATCTTCATGAGAGATAAACGCGAAAACCGAGCGGAATTCGTTAGTGTCAGCATTCGAGAGCGAGAGAAAAAGAGAAAGATAAACGTTATTCACAGAGAGACACAATAAATAACTGTATTACTTAAGGATTTAGCTGTGCAATATTAGCTAAAAGTATCAGTCAAATAATCAGCCAATATCAATTAAAAAAGTTTGATGATATTAGCTCGCGAATACGGCTTAAAATTAACTGCAAAAAAAATAAAATAACAAATAGTTTGGTTTATAATGATTTTATATAGTAAAATTATATTTTTCTGCAAATAACTTTTAAACGAGTCGATTGTTCCATCTTTGGATGAACTATGTGGTAATTTATCTAATGGATAAACAAAAGAGTAAAAGAATAAGAGAATAAGAGAGTTAGACAGAGCGGAAGTTTATCGAAAAATAGAACAACTTCGCCTATGTGGATCCAAATAAACTTTAGCACGAATATTTATTATTGTTTGATTAGTAGATATGTAAAATTTGATTTAATTCTTGATGACTTTCTTATGAAATTTGCAAATAAATATTACAAAATGCAATAAGAAGAGAAAGAAAAAAAACTTTTAAATTGATAAAGGAATTGTGCACAAATTTTACACAGATATTTAGATGTATTAATAGAATAATCTATTAAATTTTTATATATTTTTGGTATTATATTTTCATCTGATACATACATACATCCTTAACTACTGATGAAAGGGTCTTTTTGAAATTAAATCATAAGAGAAGTATGCGAATATCATTAAATATCATTTTATTTTATATAGAGACACTCGATTAAATAATACATGTATTAATAACGATTTTTTATCTCAAAATAGAGAGAAAAATGATCGGAATAATTAATAAAACAATAATTACGAAAATAAATGTTATAATCCCATAATTGACGATACAGAGCAAAAACATCTGTCGCAGTATTTGTTGCAAGCGGAACAATTTTCACGTGACTTCGCGTGAATATAAACGGCTCGCGTTTTTCCTCTACCGTATTTAATTAATCCGGCTTGGCGCAATTGCGGCATGCGACCGGTGTTAGTGAAGTGTTTTGGATTTGCCGAAACGGATTATAGAACGTTGCGCTGGAGCCAGCTTAGCTCAATCGGACGGAAAAGCTTTGTCTTCCATTATTTTTTTGTTATTTTTTATTACGTGTAAAATGTCAATTTTATGTCGATTAATTTTAACTAATTTACGTGGCAAAATTAATTTATAGCTTATAGGATATTCTGTAATTTAAATATTATAATTAGAAAAGGTTATATGATTTTTCACTTTTATAAAAAATTAAAGTTCATCGTAACAAGGGACAAATACGGTATCTTTTTTTAATGTTTAGTTTGTCACAGACAAACGATGAAACATAAGACCGTCTTTAAGATTGCGGTTCATTTCCATTTGTCCTCGATTCCACCGTATTTTGCGTCGTGTAAAGACAACCGCATTTCTTCCTGAATTATCAGCATTACTCACATTGACTATCTTAAGAATTTCACCGATCTTTCGCCAATCCTAGTAAATCGTGGAACCTAAGGTGTAACATGGACGTAACGATCGGGAAGGTTCGCATCTCGTGGTATCGATAACGATCCTTCTTGCACCCTTGACTCAAACGGGTCGACGAAGTTGTCGGGTCAGCCGGGCGTTAATTATTGACACGGGCTCTCGGTACACAGTGTTCCAGGCAATGGCGGACCGGTGCATGTCCGCGGACCGTTCCAGAAACACGAATCTGTAGACGTTGCCCATACAAAACACGACGTTGGTCAGGGAGTAAGAGGGTGAACCTAAGTTGGCCGAGATCGACGTCGGTGGAGAGAAGATAGAGGACGTACCAGACTTTCGAGACTTGGGTCGCTGCTCAATGAGGGCGGCCCCGGTGATGCCTTAAGTGCGGATAATTCATCAAAGTCTCATTAGGCTAATGCCTTAGGGCCTGTATCTTGAATGGTATTATCACGCCGAAGGTGGTGATTGCGCGTGATTGCAGGAGACGTGAACTTCTTAGAGATTCTGATTTTTTTATATAGAAAGGACATTCTCAACAGTTACGAAGGAAAGATGACAACAAGCAAGTCTTTGTTAAATTCTATTTTTTTTAATCAGAAATTTTTTAGCTTACTGTATTTCTTAGTACATCTTCAGTCTATTTTCAAATAAAGAATATCATGTAACGCAGATCTCGAAAATTTATTTATTTATTTTTTATCTTTCCTCGAGAATCGGGACACTGACGTTCTCGTCTTTCTGTACCTTGCAACAACGTAGCCGAACTGTCGAGAGACACTGTTTGTTCTAGACTTTAAAGCACTGGCATGCAACGTCTTATCTAGTTTCCTGAAACTTTGGCTTATCTCTCACGTGACGTTCATTTTCTCTTATCCCGTGGATAAGAGATTGGAAAAGGCTGAGGAATGCAACGTTACAAGTTTGCGACACATTTATATTTAACAGAATGTAAAACATTTTTGTTAAAATATAAACCGACATTAATATTAGGGGAGACGAGAAAAAAATATTGAAAAAAGAAAATGGCATTTTTACATTAAAAAAGAATATATTTTATTATTTCTCTCTCTATTATATAAAACTATACTTCTCTCTTTAACAGTAACACCACGGCTGTGCCATTTTTTACCCATCTGATAATTTTTCTTTCAAAGTTAATTTGGATTTTTGCACGTAGAGCTTTAGATTTTTGTGAATAATTATAATTAATTACAAGCAATTTTACTTTTATGGTGACAACCCTCCCTCATAAAAAGCCAGATTTATCTTGAATCGCGATTGGATTAATTTAATTTAGAACCGCGATCCTAGTGTTAATTATTTATGTAGTATTTAAAAAAATCATAAAACTAACGAAGTACATATGTTGTTCATAGTATATTCAAGCTTTTGTTAAATATTCATTTTTGTGTTTCAGTTGCTGTCGGAGCAGAAGAAGTTTAACGACGAGATGCGGCGCCAGTTGAAATTGCAGTCGGAGATACATGCCGATCATCTTCGAGAAGCAATTTTGGCCAAAGAGCAGGAAACGCAAAGGACGCTGCAACGCGCGCTCTACGATCAAGCCGATGCCGACTCTATAAAATACAAAACACAGCTCGCAGAGGTAGTTGGAAGATCACGTGCTGTCACAGCGGCTCTTAAAGGTAAGTATGTATCATCTTTCTACATCTTTCTTTTTCGAACTAGGAAGAATCAGTGTTTACCTTTTCGCGAGAAAAGTGCAATGCGATCGTGATTTATATTACGTAAAAAAAATCTCAATACTGATTAAAGATTGTTAAGCGAATCAGGAAACGATTTGAAATATACTGTTTAATTTATTAAGATCGTTTGTCAATAATTCTCCGTGTAAACTACTGACAAATCTCGTAAAAATCACCATATAGTCTATGATGGAAACGTCCAGTCTAGTAAGCAAATGTTCATGTGTCCATTGTGCCGTTCTGTGGACAAATCATCTTTCGGGGAAATGCTTTCGCCTTTGTCGTCTTTGATATTATACCGTATTCTGGCGTTTAATTACAGGGGCAAAATACACGCTTGATCTCTATAAAAGACCGCGTGCACTCGCATCAATGTTGAGAAAGTGTCGGCAACATTTTGAGACGCTTGATCTCCTCTACTGTTTGTCTTCTCCCAATCTCTTTGTCTTTTCGACGGTAATGGACCTCTCATGATCCTGAATCGAACCAAGACGGATCGAGTTTCACCGTCGAATGTGTAGCATTTGCGCGATCAGTATTGTTTGCTACTTGCAAACCCCCTGTCTTTCACCGAACCGGACATGTAACTTAGCTACGGATGTTTACGAAGGGAGAAAGATACGATCCTATAATTGTTCGCTAAAGAGAAGTAATATTAACAGCGTGGTCTTAAAGTTGTCAAATCGATGAGTTTTATTACATCCAACAGAAAGAAAAGACAATAACAATATAGGTAAACAAAAATTTGATAAAAGTAATAGTTTTTAACTCTATAATATTTTTTTTAAACGTTGATATTGCTGCCTTACCTCAAAAGTCACATGACTAAAAAATATGGTTTTTTAATTGTACCATGAATGAATAAACATTATATATCTTATCAAAAGTGAACTAATTTAACTTCATTAACATAAACGATTGTAAAAATCGTCACAACTCTCTAAAAAAAAAATGGTTTTAAAAAATTCATCAAAAAATTATGACAAGTAAAAGGTTTTTTTAAAAGTTGTGAAACGAAAATGACAAACACAACATTTATTCATGTTACAAATAAATTCTTTTTGCCGATTATTTGATCAAAAATTTTCAAGTGGAAATTTCCTCTTTTCTGGAAAACTTAATTTTTTGGGGTTACTTTTAAAAAGCAAGGGATATATTATTTATATTTAATTGTAATATACATATTGCGTGCGTTTTAATAATTCTTACGAAGAATATTTGAAAGAGGAAATCTGTATTTTTTTTTAAATATCGTGGGAAGTTTCTGAAAGTTATCTATAATAATGACGCCATTGAAAGTTATACCGGTTCTGTTTATCGAAAGTTGAACGAAACTTGCTGAATGAACTTCGACAAACGAACGAAGTTTTATCGGGTATATACTTACAACTTACACTTACACTTGTTAGTTCTATTATTTTACGGTAACTTTCTAATCCGCGTATGAAGCATACGACATTCTGAGACGCGCCTGACCAAAGATATCACAGAATATGTGTTTATCCTTTCTAGTTTTACTGATAGTAGAGGGGCTACCAGAGTTTAATCCGGATTAACTCTGTTCGAGTTTAACACACCGAACGGTGGCACCAACGGTTTCCCTTATCGCCACTGCCCGCACTCTCCTATATCCGACCAATCGAGATTAATTCTTGATTAACAAATCTCGCATACGATATACATTCATTGCGCAACGCGCATGCCGATAACTATCTTTAATTAGTTTCCGTTCGAGTAATTTTCCGGTCACTGAATAGATTACAAACGCGACACATTATCGATACTTCGTGCTCGTGTCCTCGCTGGCGTTATATTATTGAAAATCGTTGTCCATTCGCGGAGATATTTTTTTTCCTTTTTCAATGGTCCCCTCTCCCAAAGAGGATTGTTATTTATTATCTGAGCCTTATCGATTATTGTCCTTGTTTAATTAATTTATAATTTATTCTTGTAGATATTTTTCCTAGTAGAATGTCCCCGATGTTTAGCTTATTCTATGGGATATATTAATTATCGCAACACAAAGAGAGAACGAAAGTAGGAAGGATTTTTAAATGTGAGAAAAGATTTTTTAAATATCTCTTATTCATTCTGTGCGGTACTCTGCAAGTACCGCACAGAATGAATTTCGTTGGAATCAATTGCGGTTTTCGACAAACGGTTTACATCGACGCGAAAATATAATACTAGCACCCCGCAAACTATCAAGATATTTTCACTGCACCGTTTCTCATCGAGTTTCTCGATTAAAACGTTCTAATTTCCCGGTGGTCTACCGGTGCTTGTAATTATTGTCCTAATTGCGGATTGTCTCTCGAAGTAGTGTCATCGGATTCGACCAGGATATTTCTGGCTAGCACCGGCTGTTCTCGCGGAGACACTTTTCGCTCGTTAATTAACTTTGCCCAACAAGCGGACGGAAGTGTAGATAGAGGTTTCCGGGAGGAGAAGGGCGGTGAAAGAAACGCGTGGAATACGGTACTCACCGCTGCATAATATCCATTATCCGGCGAGTAGTTCTGCGTTTAATTTAGTGAATTATGTCGTTTTACCAACGTGCTTGCTACTGAAAATTCAGAAGCAGCGGGCCGCACGAACAGGAGATAGAAGTTAATAAAATGCAAGTTCCTCGAAGGATCGTAAGATAAAGACAAGAGTCTCGAGGGGAAAAGTATGAGATCCCGTGATTTATTAATCCGAGTTGTAAGGGCGTGAAAATAAAGACATTTTATTGACTTTTCGCAAGCATTATGAGAAAAAAGTATGACAAGGACAACAAGAGAAAAAAAATAGCTATTCTTTCTTCCTTTTTCTCTCTTTTTTCTATTTCTCTCTCTTTCTCTCTCTCTTTTGTCAATCGCTTCTGCGACGGCGGTGGCACAGGGATGTATTTCATGAATAGAAATTAGCAATAAAAAGATGGCATGAAAAGAGATGAGGATAGAGGCGTCGAGGTGTAAACTTCTAGATTTCAACGTGGGCGATGTTGTGATAGCACGGTGGTTGGGTAATGTTCGGTATCTCGGAGAACTGCAAGGAAAACGGCAGAAGAGATTTTGAAGCTTCATATACCTATATAAAGTGGCGACTTTCGATTATGTTTTGGAAATCCATGCAAAGTTTATCGCTATCATTCTACTTAGCGAATTTGCTATAAATATAATGATAGCAATAAACATTGCGTGAACCTGGATTTTGTCCTGTATACATTTCCGGCTGCAGCAAATCTAGATCATTTAGCATTTATTTTATGATTATTTATTCAAATAAAAATTCGAAGTTTTTATTTATATATAGGAGAGAATGAGGAAATTGCGAACACATGGGGTAACGCAAAAAGATTTATTCAAAGATTATTTAGTTTAAACTACAACAATTAACATTTATATACCATTATTAGGCCTGTTCGCATTGCTTGAAGTCTCAAAAAATTTTTGCACTTAAAATGAGATAAATATATATTCGGTTGAAGAGAGAGAAAGCGAAGATGCTGAGTATAAAAAAGTACAAACAACGCGAACAGATCTAATATGAATTATAGGTATAAAATAAAACTCATTTACATTACCTCTGCGTGTGGCGGATAATTTCAAATGACAAAGATTTTGTTTTTTATTTATATTGATAATATATGAGTGTTAATTTTCTGCCAGCAACACGGACTTTTTATAAAGGCATTGTCGATATATTGACGGTGAATTCTGGTAGATAAATTTAAATCTGTAAAAAATAAGTAAAGTACAATCCGATTTCCATGATGATGAAAATTCATTGGTAAAGCTTTGACAAATACGCCAGAATTTTTTTCAGATTTTAATCCGAAACAGTAAAAAACGTTGCTCTGTTTTCGGAGACCCTTATTGCTGACGGAAAAGTTAAAATTCCATGTTGCCGGCAGAAGACAATTAATTATCACAGTTTAAAGCCAAATAACTGGAGTATCTCCTTTAAATAAAGACTTCTACAATTGATGCTAAATAATCGTCTGTTTTATTTAACTTTTCCTTTAGGTGTTCGCAACTCTCTCAGTCACTCCTATGCAAACAACGAGTGATAGTGATGTAAACAGCAAGATGTATAACAAGATGAGATTTATATTTTTCTTTAGCCGCGTTATAGCCTGCTTCTCGGACGCAAAATCTTAAGACGACACGATTATCTAGTAACTTGAATAATTATGTAACAAGAGTACGGATTTATAAGAGCTCGTTTTTATCAATAGATTAACTTTAATCTCGTTCAACTTATTCTTTATCTTTTTCTAATTAGAACTAGAAAAGATGAAGAATTAGTTGAACCGAGATTAAAATTAAACTGCATTGGTAGAAACAAGCATAAATGTTATGTAATGCTCCTTTAACGTACAATTTAAACATGATACAAAGGCAGTCACGCAAGGTAGTTGAAATGGCAATAAAATGAATGAATGAAGATGGAAAGCGAGTGAGATCGTAGGTCGCGGTTATCAGCTCGACAAACCGACTAACATATGCGGCGTGTGCCCCAATTATAACTTCTGCCATACATCTCTCGCGGGCGCTATTAAGGATCAGTACTACGACGTCGAGTGCTGGGTGGTGAAGGGAAAAAGCGATGGCCATGGTGACTGTTCACGCATATCGAAAAACGCGGCTGCAGCTCGCACTTCCATGAACGTTTATTACTCTTGCGACGAGTTTTCTCTCAACGATGAAGAAAATAATAACGTCGTAATTTACGGTAACGAGTGCGATGGGACACGCGAATTGTTTTCGCTCGAAGGGAGAAATTACGACGAAGTGTCTAATTCTGAAATTAAGTCTCTCTTTCGGATAGCAACGAATGTGGATTGATAGCAACGAACGTGAGAAGATAGTGTCTAATCTCATTGTCGCCGAGACAAAATCGACTCATGATTCGTTGACGAAGACTGTAACTAACAAGTACTGCGATACGCAGTA